CAAAAATTCACTTGTACACAGCAAATGGTTCTGAAGTGAGTAGGAGAGGGCGCCTGAGCTTCAGTGACAGACTCACAATGCAAATGCCGTGAACGTCGCACTCAGCTGCGTGGCCGCGGCATTCACAGGGTTGACAAATGCCTCCGAAGAGTATTCCATCCACGCGGTAATAGCCAGAGAGGCACGACTGCAAGAGAAGGGAAAGTCATCCTCCCTCCACTACGTTACAAACAAGAAACTGCTCAGTTGCCCATGAGTACGGAAATGTCTTTCTTTTTTCTCAAACATCCTAACTGAGGTATCATTCACATGCTACACAATTCACTCATTTCAAGCGTACAATTCAATGACTTTTAGTAAAAAACTTACTGAGCTGTGCAACCACCACCATAATCCAGTTCCTTATTTCTCTTTAAAGGTAGAGACATACACACAAAAACGTAACGGCTGTGCAACAAGTCTTATGGCCCATTCTTGTTATGGTATTAATATCAATACGTTTGTCCAAGTAATTTCAAAATAGTTTTAGCAACAGATTACTTTCATTGAGGATTGCAAGTGCATTTTCATGTATTTCACATGTAAGGTGGAGCCCACCAAAGTAAAATACCCAGGGGCCATAAAAGGTCTCAAAATAGGGCTGGCTTGTATAAAGCCACCCAGGTCACATGCTGGTGATTTGTAAATGTTCACATATGATCAAGTTCCATCCTCCTTAGAAACAGTCAGTGGCATGGGTATTGCAAGTTTCCTGTTGACTAAGGCAGGAGGGCAGCACTACGTCAGAATATTGTCCAGGGCTTCAGCCCAGTCCTGGTGGAGGAATCTGATTTTTTTAAACAATGTGACTTCTAATATTTCTATTGCCCAAAAAAGGCTGAGCCAAACATCGGGTTGCTAAAGCTAAAATTCAAATGTGTGCCATGACATCCCCTTCAGTGCACTGTTTTCCCCTTAGGAAGGAACAAAAGGAAAAAGGCAGGAAGAGAGAAGCGTCACCTCACAGGAGGTCCCTGTGTAGCCTTGCGGACATTCACAGTGCTCCACATCGGCGGCCACTGCCAGGTCGATGGCATTAGGGCTGGCTATGTCCAGAGAGACGGACTGTAACCTGCAAACAGACAGATTGTTATGTGACTCACACGCTCGCAAATATACCTCACATCTCAGGGAAGACGGGCTCCTAAAAGATTTAAATCTAGCCGGGTGCGGTGGCTCACACCTGTAATCCCAGCACTTTGGGAGGCCGAGGCGGGTGGATCACGAGGTCAGGAGATCGAGACCATCCTGGCTAAC